AAAAAAAGATTGAAATTGCAAATCGGATTTCCGGTCTTTGGAAAGCTCGTGTTCCCTTCCAAATACGTCATGCAGAAGGGAAGACGCGCGACAGCACCGATGGACAGCCAGAGCTACATCTATCGTTTGGGGGCTGGGACGCGCCGCTGACTCCCAGCCCACCGTCCCGCCCCGGTCAGCGGTGATCCGTCCGCCGCGTGCGACCACCCCGTCTGGCCATCGACCGCCCTGAGGTCGATCACAACGCTAAGCAGAATCATTCTGCATTCAGCAACCCGTAATCACAACCACGTCCGAACGGTAATGCCGTATCGATCTGCCCCGATAACACAGTTTACCGGGTCGTTATTCGCGTTGGGCCCTCGGGAATCTGCCTTTCTCTCTGCCTCTCACGGGAACGCATCCCCCTCTCGTTTGTGGCTGCGTCCTGGCGACAACAATCGCAGGCGAGGCTGGCGTCTTCCACGTACCACCGTCGCGCGTATGCTCCGACGTGGCCCAAATAACAATAGCCCGCTTCGGCCGATCGAACCCGTCACAGACCGAGGCACAGCTCTCCACCCCCGCAACAGCTGACGACCCTGCACCGTGAGCGTCGCAGCGCCCGGCGCCACTAACCGAGCTTCCCTCTCGCTGTGGTTCTGGCGTGAGAAGTAGCCTTCGAGCGCGTGCTCGGCTAGCTCGGCCTCCACCAGCTCCTTGTTGATGCTGCGGTCCATGGTGGCGTGCCCCTGGCGCACTTTGCGGAACAGCTCCACGTGGATGGTGCCGTGTACCACCTGCAGCGGCAGCGGGCGTCACTGGCGTGGACGCGTTCGGTCAGCCCCCTCTCCCTCTCACGCGCGGGACGACCCTGTCAGGTAGGGAGGGAGCGGCGGCCGAGCGGCACATGGTGTTGGCCGGCGGGACTTCCGGCGCCCTCCTCCGCTAGGCGCGTGGCCGCTGGGAAACGGTCAGCGGCCGTCTGCCACCTGTCGCGTCCGGCTCGGCACAGGCCGGCTACCCCTGCCGCGTCCGGCTCGGCACAGGCCGGCTACCCCTGCCGCGTCCGGCTCGGCACAGGCCGTCTGCCACCTGTCGCGTCCGGCTCGGCACAGGCCGGCTACCCCTGCCGCGTCCGGCTCGGCACAGGCCGTCTGCCACCTGTCCGCGTCCGGCTCGACACACGGCCACCCCTGCCGCCGCCGGGGGGCTACCCATGCCGCGTCCGGCTCGACACACGCCGGCCTAGCCCTGCCGCGTTCGGCTCCGACACACCGCCGGCTAGCCCTGCCGCGCCGGGCGCGAGATCTGAGCGCGCTTCACTGATTACGCCCACCACTTCGCTGGCCATCTCCCACCGGCAAGCCGGCGCGCACGCCTACCCGAGTAGGACGTGACCGATGGACGTGCTGGTAGAGCGGCCAGCGTCTGGAACTGGCTGATGGCACGCTCGCCCCAGCGGCTCCGTCCAATCCCTGGGTAGGCTCAGCCTCCGAGAGTGTACATTCGGCCGCCAGGCGCTTCCGTCTGGCAGCATCCGAACAGCAATGTCATGGAAAATGCCGAGCATACTGCCACTGAAATCGCTGGCTGACACAGATCACTGACACAGAAACGCCGAGCTTATTACCAGTGAACACGCCTGGCTGACACAGATTCCACCTGGACACAGAAACGCCGAGCTTATTACCAGCTGATTACCACTGAACACGCTGGCTGACACAGATCACCTGACACAGAAACGCCGAGCTTATTACCAGTGAACACGCCGGCTGACACAGATCACCTGACACAGAAACGCCGGGCTTATTACCACTGAACACGCCGGCTGACACGGCTGCTTAGTTGTTTCGTTCTTTAAAATTTGCGAAGTTACCGTAGGTGACGCCTCGCTCAGAAGGTTTTGGTGCCATATCGCTGTTATCACACATCCTCAATACGAAATGAACGCCCCACCCCAAACCCCGAGGAACGTCCGGGTGGGCTGGTATCCGCGTCCACAAATGCTCGGAGGCCGTCCCATTGGGACTCCGGACTCTCACCCTCAGCCACTGGGAAATCCAAACTTTCACCTCAAGCCGCAGAGGCCTCCGGGACCCCAACTCAAGCCGCCGGGGCACCAGACTCACTTCATGCCGCTCACGACTCCGGAATCTCTCTCACCTCCAGGATGCCGGCCTTGATCATGTCGGGTGAGAACTCGAGCAGATCTGCGACGCGCACCTCGGCCGTGTTGCCATAGTCCACGAAGTAGACCTGAGGGGCGGGGCCGCCCCGACTTGAGCCATGCCGCCACGAGCGGTTGCAGGGATTCCGCACGGGCTCAATGCGTGTTGGCCGAAGGTACGCTGGCACGACACAATGGTGGGTGCCGAGGCCCGATTGGGCAGGCGCTCATCTGCTGATGTGACCAGGGCCATGACAGCACCAGGCAGCACCCATCTGCTAATGTGACCAGGCCCATTACAGCACCAGACAGCGCTCATCTGCTGATGTGACCAGGCCCATGACAGCACCAGACAGCGCTCATCTGCTGGTATGACCAAGGCCATGACAGCACCAGACAGCACCCATCTGCTAATGTGACCAGGCCCATGACAGCACCAGACAGCGCTCATCTGCTGATGTGACCAGGCCCATGACAGCAGCCAGACAGCGCTCATCTGCTGATGTGACCAGGCCCATGACAGCACCAGACAGCGCTCATCTGCTGATGTGACCAAGGCCATGACAGCACCAGACAGCACCCATCTGCTAATGTGACCAGGCCCATGACAGCACCAGACAGCACTCATCTGCTGATGTGACCAGGCCCATGACAGCACCAGACAGCGCTCATCTGCTGATATGACCAAGGCCATGACAGCACCAGACAGCGCTCATCTGCTGATGTGACCAGGCCCACGACAGCACCAGACAGCACTCATCTGCTGTGACCATACCCATGACAGCACCACACAGCGCTCATCTGCTGAGGTGACCAGGCCCACGACAGCAGCAGACAGCGCTCATCTGCTGATGTGACCAGGGCGATGACAGCACCAGACAGCTCTATGGCATTGTTTGTGGTACAATACTAGTGTAAATACACCAGCTCCTTACTATACACTGGAAATACGCGTGGTGTTATGTGTGTGGAAATATGTGTGGAAATATGCTATATGTGTGATGTTATGCAACATTCAACACCCCATCACTACACATAGTCATACAGCCGATGTCGCTTCACAGTTCTGTCGTATCGAGCGCGTGCGCTAAGACGCAAACATTGGCACCCCTTTCACCACCGAAGACCTTCCTGCTGCACCCATTAGCATCCTGGCCTGCCACAATCACGCATCGGCAGCAAGACGCCTGGGAATCGCCGCTGTAAGCGGCACAGCGTCGTCACAGGAGCCATGGAAGCAGCGGCGGCAGCGGCGGCCGCACCAGCAGCAGTGCCAGCGCCGCCGGCGTGCCGCCCTCACCATGCAGTCGCGCTGCCCGACGGCCTCGACCCGGGCGCGGAACAAGCTGGTGACGCCGGCCTCGGTGTACGGCGCCAGGTAGAGCCGCGCCGGCTGCGGCCGGCCGGCCGGAGCACTGCACCCCGGCCCCAGCGAGCTGATCAGACCGTGCACCGTCGAGAAGGCGTCGTCGCTCTGCGGGTCCGCGTACCGCACGTAGAAGTGGCCCGGGTCCTCGATCTGCGGCGTCGAGCAGCGGGAGCGGGGTCAGGGGAGGGGGGGGGGGCGGGCTGAGCAGTGAGGGGGGAGCGGCGAGAGAGCGATGGGTAGGTGTCTCCTTGGGGGCTAAGCAGTGAGGGGGGGGGGAGCGGCGAGGGCGTGATGGGCAGGTGTCTCCCACCGTAATTAAGTGGGATCAACTTGCGCGAGAAGACAACGACGTCTTCCCAAAAAATCAACATTTCTCCTCGGTTACAAAATAACCGCAGCATTTAACACACCTGAAGCACGGCCTAAACTTTACAAACTATGGACCACGCATGTTGTACCAGACACTTCCACAACTTGTCAAAGCAGTCAGCCAAGCAGTGGATTAGGAGCTTCGAACACCGCAGTCGGCTACAGAGATGCGCGTAAAATTGCATCCTTCCCACATCTCACCGTGTCCCAGCGTGCCACGGCACCAATGTTAACGTTACATGACATACTGAAGATCTCCACCACGCGCCGCCGCGGAGTATCTTGGTCGCCTTAGCCACCCATAGTCATGCTGACGACACCATTGCAAACAGCGCACCCTCGTGGCACACGTCCACTGGCGCCATCGCCGGCCGAGCGCGGTTGCGAGTCCCAGGTCCTCCGGCGCCGACTCACGTGCGTGACGATTCATGGGCAGCACGGACTTGTGCAGTCCGGGCAGGCGGCAGCGGTCGGGCCGGGCGGCGCCGCGCGTGCTGGCGCCGGCCAGCGTCAGAGGTCGCGGCCCGCTGGGTGGCTCGCCGCGCCGCTGCCGCTCTAGCGCCTGGTACTGCTCCAGGCGCCGCAGCTCCTCCTTCCGGCCTGGGTCGACCACAGGTCACAGGGGGACAGCGAGGTCACAAGGCACGTACGGCTGATCAGGGCAACATGCGGGATGGAAGACAGGGGTCATATGGGAGGTCAAAGGAGCCACGCGGGAGGTCAGAGAAGTCATATGGGTGATCAAAGAAGTCATATGGGAGGTCACAGAAGTCATGTGGGAGGCCAGAGAAGTCATATGGAGGGTCAGAGAAGTCATATGGGAAGTAAGGAAAGACATATGGAAGGTCGGATGAATCGCAGGGGATACGCGGCACGGCTGTCACACGCCGCTCCTCCCCAGCCATGGCGATCAGTATCTCCACACTGTAGTTGCATGTCAGCGTATAAACGAGGCGCCAGGCATTCACCGAGCGCCATGTGTATCACGTGACATTCAAACGACAAGCAAGCCGGACGTCCGATGTTTGACAGCCGTAACCCTGCGGGGGAGCGTCGTGGCTAGTACTGCTCGCGCCGCCGGTCCGGGGCGAGGGGGCGCGAGCTCCACTCACGCGTAGCGCATGATGGTGACGCGCGTGTTCTTGATCTGGCCCTTGCGCACGGCCAGGTAGACGGCCGGCGGGATGTCGCCCTCCCAGGCGTGACCCTGGTCGCCAGCCCGCCTCCGCACCGGGAATTCCACGTACGCCCTGAGCACGCACCCAAGCCATCACACGGCTGGCATGCTCGGAACGTCACCAGCGCTTCCGATCTACGTAGAGGCGCAGCTGAACGAGTCAGAACGCTGCAGCCGCAAACTGTAGTGCAGCAAGGCCCACGTGACACAACTGAGCAGCGTGGGACTTGACCTGGACGCACTTGGACTGGTGGCCACTCGCGCCAAGCGTTCGGACAGCATGCGCTAGGCACACGAAGTGTACGGCCCGGGAGCGGACGACCTGGTCACATCCCGCCACACAGCTGTGAGGGCCAACGATTCGGCCGCGGGCTGCTAAAGCACAGTTAGCGGCAGGTCGCCACCGGTGTGCAGTCTGACGCGCCCTGAGGGACTGTCGCCCAGTCAGCTGGTCTGCGACGCAGCCGACCAAGGACAGCCCCAGTACGTCATGCCATGCTGTCCGCCACAAAGCTTGACGCAGACGCACGACCAGCCCACAAATGAACCGCACAAGTGAACAGATTAGATACTCCTTACTCCTGAAGAGCATGGGCGTCACAAAACGGTCATCTAAGCGGACAGCCAACGAAAAGGCTGCATGCCACCGCCGCAGGCGACGTCCACTCACTTGCTGTTCTCGAAGCTGATGGTGGGGTCTGGGTCGGTGGCGTTGAAGCGGAACTGGCGTAACAGCTGTCCATAATAAAGCACGCCACAGTCGCGCGGCAGCCCCGCCAGGCAGACCGTCGTCTGCGGGTTGCGGCCGCCCAGCTCGCGGTTGGCGTCGACCTCGCGCTCCTCGCGGTAAAGCCGCAGAAAGTAGTTGGGGTAGAAGGCGCCAGCGATACAGACCTGCAGCACCAGCGCCTGCTGGCGGCGCTCCTCCTCCGACTCCTGCTCCCTGCGCACCGGCAGCGGCCGGATGTTGCAGGCGTCCAGCCGACGCTCCAGCTCGCGCAGCAGCGCGTCCATGTCCTTGAGACATCGGAGCTGGATGAAGTTCTTCTCCTGCCCACTCGCGCTCGCCACGGCCGCCACTGCGCTGGAAGTGGCCCTGGCGGGTGCAGTCCTCCCACACCTTGTATACGGTCAGGATGGCCAGGCAGTCGCTGAACGACTTGCCCGCCCACGACACCTTCATCTGGTACGCGCGCAACTCGTCGCGGAACGGGCGCGCGAAGAAGCTCTTGGCGGTGAGGCCGGCGCCGATGATGAGACACTCGCGCAGACAGCCGTAGGCGTGGCCCAGCGCCAGCAGGCGGGCCACGTTCACGTCCACGGGCAGCGCCGACATCACGTGACCTAGCACGGTCAGCTCTCCGTCGAACGGGTTGAAGCGCTCGGCGCCGCGCGTGTCGATCAGCGCGCCCACCTCCTTCAGGTGCAGCACCGCCGAGTAGATCTTCTCCAGCTGCGGTGGCTCCAGCGCCAGCGCCAGCACCGCCTTCGGCTCCGACTCGGCGCAGAACTTCTTGGCCTTTATGACTACCCGTTCGAGCGGACTACGCAGCATCTCGGGCACGCCGTACTCGGGCAGCTCCTCGTAGAACCGCTGCGAGACCAACCGGTACACTCGGCCGGAGCTGACGCGTCCGGCGCGACCTCGCCGCTGCAGGCAATTGGCTTTGCTCGCCCACGACAGCTTCAACATCGAGTAGTTGGTCTCTGGGTCCATCGTCAGCTCCTTGGTCATGCAGAAGTCGATGACATACTTGACGTCGGCGACGGTGATGGAGCTCTCGGCGATGTTAGTGGACAGGATGATCTTGCGCTGCTCGGCCGGCAGCTGCTGGAACACTGTGTTCTGCTCGTCCGACGTGATGAGCGAGTGGAGAGGCATCACCTGCCAACGCTCGGGGATGCGGTGCTCCTCCAGCTCAGCCGCCAGCTCCTTGATCTCGTGCATGCCCGGCAGGAAGACGAGCACCGAGCCGCGCTGCGCGCCGAAGCGCGGATACCGCGCGCTCGGTCCGAAGTCGCTCACGTCGAACGTGTTGATGACCTTGATGAGCCGCACGACCAGCTGGTAGAGCGCCGGATGTATCTGCGGCACTGTCGCGTTCGCCTGGTCCCAGCTGGAGCGCAGCTCGGGCCGCGGCCCGGCGTCGCCGGCGGCGTCACGTAGCAGCGGCCCCAACTTCGTCCAGGTAGTGCACGCTCACATCGTACATCTCCTCGCGGACCGACGCAGATGACGGGCGCCGGGTCCAGCCGGTCCTGCACCGGCACGGCGAAGTAGTGCGCGAACAGGCGCGTGTTAAACGTGGCCGACATCAGCACTACCTTGACGTGGCGCGAGGTGGAGCGCAGCAGGCGGCGCACCAGCAGCAGCGCGAAGTCCGTGTCCGTGTCGCGCTCGTGCACCTCGTCCAGCACGACGTGCGTGTATTGGTTCATGTTCCCCTCATGCACGATCTTCTGCAGAAGCACGCCGGTCGTGCAGTAGGTGATGCGCGTGTCGGGGCCCGTCTTCTTGTCCATGCCGATCTCGTAGCCCACCAGCGTACCGAGCGGCCAGTTCCGCTCGCGCGCCACGCGCCGCGCCACGCTCACGGCAGCGATGCGGCGCGGCTGCGTGACGATGATGTTGGCGTGCCGCCCGAGGCGATGGCCCTCGTCCAGCAGGTATTGCGGCACCTGCGTCGTCTTGCCGCAGCCAGTGCGCCCCTCCAGCACGACCACTTCGAAGGCGTTGACCTTGCTGACGATCTCGTCGCGCTGCGCCTTGATGGGCAGGTGTGCGGCCGTCGGGTCAACGTGGTTGAAGTCGTACGCGCCGTGCACCTGCGTGCTCCGCTGCACGGTCTGGTCGCCCAGCTCGGTCAGCGTCTCGGCGTATGTGTCCACCTCCAGCCGGCTCATGCCCGCCGTCAAGCTCGTCACCGTCGAGCGTGCGTCCTCGTCGGCCTCGTCGGCCGCGTCGTCGCCGGCGCCGCGCGCCAGCAGCGCGCGCTCCTCCTCGCGCCGGTAGTACTCTGCATAGTCCTGGCCATGAATTTGGCGGTAGGAGGGCATGGCCGGCTCCTGCTGCTGCTCCACCATGCCCAGATCATTGGTGGCGCTTGGCACTGGTGCTGGCAGGTGCGCCGGCAATGCACCAGTGCTAAAGAAGGCCAGGTAGTCATCTGCACTCAGTCCACCACCCTGCCGGCTCATTGTGGCCACCACTGGTGCTCACTACTGAGTATGCTGTAAAAAGGAAATAAGGATGAATCATTAACACCTTATCGGCATTCACCCTGAGGTGCTGATGATCCTTCTGTGTTGTATAACTTGACCAAAATGTTTGCATGAATGTGAGGGTGATGCACAATGCCAGGCTATATGGATATGACTACAAATGGCTGACTATTCCCATATTTTTCCAATGGGTGCCACCCAAGCCATATTGATGTTGGTGGGGTAGCCCTTCTAGAGGTCCTACCCCTCCCCACTGACTGTAACTTCTGTTTCTTGCCTGAATTATGCTAAATTTGGTAGGTGGGTTGCATTCCTGGCTAAGTGTTCACACAAACATTTTGGTAGCCATTAATGCCATGCATTAAACACCATAGAACATGAAATATGGAGCTTAATTACCCAGTCACCATGTCAGCAATGCAAGAGTGGACAGTCACATGATACAACCAGGAAACTGCATGAGCAAAATCTTTCCCAGCAGCAATGATGCAATCCAAATGCTCAAATATCAAACTTAGGAATAATGAGCACATGGATCCCACCATCCCCTGCTCATTAGTATAGACAACCAGTCACAGGCATACACATAAATTTGGGATCTTGCCAATGTTAATAAATGTATTCAATTCCATCAGAATAGGCATGCATTTATATAGTCCACTAAAACCGTGTAGCCCTTGCCTCCATTACACAATGGTCATTAAAAACATTGGAATCAGGACATGGTGAATGTGTCAGCCCCTTCCACGCAGTTCAAGCTAGAGAACAAAACAAATCTAAATTGTCCAGTCTTACTGCTTGCAAACGAGATTACCGGTGCCTCAAAACCTTGACAAACGCCTAACGCTTACCACGTTTCCCCGATTCCTCACCTACACTTCGGCGCGAGAAGCGGTTAACACCAAGGCAATACAGACCAAGTGGCACCGTCCCGGCTACGCACTTCTCAGCAAGAATTCCTATGTGACGTCAACAAGGGTACATCTTTAACCCCGGTGTTGCCGCATGCGTGGTAACGATCCTAAGCGACCTACCTACCGGTACCGACCTAAGCGCGCAGCCAGGGCCCTGGCAAGGGGGGCACCGGGTTGGCAAAGCCCCTGTTAATAAGGCCAAAAATTGCCGGTATGGCTCATTGGTTATTTGTGGCATGTAGGGGAAAGCGGGTGAAGACGGACGCCTTAGCGGGTTTTTTTTAAGGGAAGTTCATAAGTCTGTCCAGAAAGTCTTTAGCATGTGGATATTGAAGGCTGATCAATTATCTATCTCTTTTAAAAGCACTGGTTTGATATCTCTTCATGTTAACGTGTGATCCTTCTAAAAATCGGGCAATGTTTTTTCCTTATTTTGCCTCTGGCTTGGGGCAAAACGAAGCAACATTCGGGGCAAAACGGAACAAGTGATGAGATTGAATAAGCGAATTAAATATTTTCAAAGTTATCATCTTAAGGAAAACGCATCAATAAATGCATTGCTCGGCAAGTAGGTATTTATCTGGACATCCAATATATATATATATATATTTCTTAATTTTGGACTCATATTTTGTTCGAACTATCCCACTACCATACTCGCTTCCTCAGTATGATCCCACGAATAAAAGTTATAATGGCCAACAAATGTGTACTACAGCTTGGTATGAAGTGACAGCCATTGCTGCATGGCTTAGACGCAGAACTAGAGGAATACAGCCTGGTGGTTACATAATGAGACGACAACGATCGAGTCTCAAACACACAAGTCATCAAGCAAAGTTCGCTCAGGAACACTTGCTCGTTCTTCGCATCAATCCACTTCTTAGTCACTGTGAACGCACAACACGGAAAGAGCACGGCCTAGTGGACCCGTCAGCAGGTACGACCAATGGCGAAACTAGACAAGACATCAGCTTGCCTAGTCATCCCGGCACAGTTCACACACAAACACAAACTCGTCCTTTTCGTCAATCCCTGCACAGGTACCGTGCGCCCATTTATCGCAGAGAGCACATCGCGACCAAGACTCGCTCGAGTTGAACATGGAGGAGAAGGACCCGCAGTACAGACAAGCTACATTTTCTTCGTCCGAGGACTCCTCAAAGGTAAGCTTTCGCGGCGTACGCTCCTTCTGTTTTGCGCTGCGGTTTCTGAGTTTCTACACTCTTCCTTTTTCTTCCTTTAGACTGACTTCTGTCGTCATTTTTCTTTCCTCCCTGTCTATTTTCTTTCCTTCGAGTCTCTTCTCGAGTTCCTCCTTGTATGCTGTGCCAGTCAAGACACATGTTTTACCTTTCTTTTGTCCTTTACCTCTCTCCTCCTTTGAGTGCACTTTTGGCGCATGGGGGATTTCGCGGGGAGACACATAGGAGTTTGCGGGTGTGTCATTTTGACCTTGGGAAGCATGGCTCGGTCCAGCTGAGCATGGCACTTTTAGGACGTCATCTTCGTCATCGCTAGAGCTTAAGAGATCATCTAGGCAGAGCCCCAGTGGTGAGCAACTTCGCCGGAGTCTCGGCATTAGTCGAGCTTCCCTGCCCCGATATTCCAGCCTGGCGTTGCGTCTCTGGCGACAGTTTCCGACTCCCGAACGTTCGTGCTCACTGGGACATCAACGTTAGAGGGCCCAGGCATAGACAGAGGAGCTGCTGCTGAGTTGAGACACACTGGTGCGTCTGCGGTGCCGGTCAGCGGGATGTTCGTTGTTTCTGCCGCTGCGAAGGCTCCTTCGCCAAACACATGGCGGTTTGTGGGAAAGATTCCCGTGACTTCGAAGCCCTTCAACGCCGTCTTCACTGTTGCCGCCTGCACGTAGGCTGACCCGGTCCGCTCCCCCATCTCCTACAGTATGATGACTTTACCAGGGTTGTTTCGGAGCCACGTTCTCTGACCTTGGAAGAAGAAGGTGTTGACGGGAAGCATGAACGTCCAGCACAGTGGTTGAAGGCGGTGTGAGGTGTGCGGAGGAACGGTGAGCATCACCGCACCTGCTTCCCTGCACAGCAGGATGGCTGCGAGGCTCTTGGTTCGGCTGGCATGTCCATCCAGTATGAGAAGGACTGGATCCTGTTTCGAGGGCTTCGCGTGTTGTATGAAATGGTCAAGCCATTTCACGAACAGTTCCTTCTGCATCCAACCAGGCTCATGGTACAGCACCAGGCTACCTGGGGGAAGACCCCTCTCCAATGTTCGAGTCTGTCTCCGCGAAGGTCCACACGAGTCGGCGGTCGGAACTAGACTGTATTTCCGTATTCCGCGGGACGCTCTGCCATCTACCGTTCGGTCTAAATACCACTACTCGCGCGCTATACTCGGTACTCGCACATCCAACTGCTGGCTGGGCCTCTTTCTTGGGAATATCACACCTGGAGGTATGCAGCTCCCCGCAGCGTTAAAACACACCACCCCGGTAACCAACGTGCCTTGCTCCGCAGACGTCAGCTGGCCAACCTGCTGGCATCCTTTCCTCGCCGGCACCTTCCCTTGTTTTGTTGCGACCATGATGAATCCCGCTCCATCCATGATGTACATGTGTGTGGGACCGAACTGGGCAGAATCCATCTGCGACTCAAGGTTGGCGAAGAACGCGTTGACATTGAATGAGTTGAACGCCGCGGCGCGAACAAGGCTTTTGGCTTCTGGTGTCGTTAGTGAAACCGTGGGTTTCCTCTCTCGGAAGCACCGTATCCACGCCTCCCCTGCCATCTTCGTCACTGTGTTGAATGGGTGGGTGATTTTGTTTCTGTCTGCGAACTCATATGCGAGCTTCTTGAGGTCAGTCAGCGTTATTCCGAACATCCGGTTTTGGAGTTTCATTATGTGCTGTACCAAATCTCGCTCCTGAGCCTCCGTGAAAACAGGTTTGTGTCGACCCAGGACCTTCTCTGTGGCCTCTGTTCTTGACATTGCCCGTGCCTTTTTCAGCCGTCTGTCGAGAGTCGACTTCGGGACCAGAAAGCGGCGTGCCGCTTCTTTGGTGGACATTTTTCCCACCTTGACTGCTTTGAGGGCCTTTGCCATCGTATCCTGCTTCCAGGATTGCCGATCGGTTTTCCTCTTGTAATTTCGAACCCTTCTCCGTCTGGCGAAGAAGTTCCTCTGTAAAAAAGGACGTCAGCGTGAACGGTGCACGGATTTGGGAGGGTCATTTGCCCCTTAAGCCCCCCCCCCCCCCTTCCCACCCTCCCTGGACCGTCAGTGTACCTATACTCCTTTTTATAAACTAGGAAAATGTTTACCTGCTATGAAAAATTGAACACAAGTATCAAAGCGAAATGCCTAACTGCATGCCTATAACTAGTTGGTAATAGGGCATTTCATTTCTTGTGTTAAATTCGTTACGTTTAATATTAAGGGCGATATGATAAAACACCTTCTATGCAATAATATATAATAGGTCAGTTCTAACGTTTAAGGAGCAGGAAACCGTTGAACTATTTCATAATTTAAAAACAAAACATTGAATCGTATATGTTTAAGGGAATGTAAGGCTTTTTCCCACTTTACTGGAGTTAGCAGCGTTTCTGGGCACAACATGATAAATAAACATTAAAACTTATCACATTTTGCTGGGTCTTGCCCATAAGCAGAGAAAAAAAAACTTAAATTTATTTTTTACGCCAGTTCTGTCAGACAGAATACCTATGCGTTAGTGCTTACGCTAGTGCCTGTGCATGCAGAGAAATACACCCTTTAAATGTATGGAAAGGTACGAAATGTACTGTGAGTTTTTCTGCGATAATGACCGAAAAATGTATTAACTTTTCACCCTTTTCATAGCCTAAGTTACTTTTTAAGACACTTGGCTTGGTCGGGTGTTTTTTTTTAGAGCGTCAACGCAAGAGGCCATTTGACATTCAAGGTCCCTCTCCCGTCCCTGATTAGTAAATGAGTCCGTGGCCGACTCTGGGCTTATTGCCGACCCTTGTCGGGCACTGTGTGTCCCGGATCAGCACAGGGGTCGGACCAATGCACGATCTTTCGCATGAACATTTGCAGGTACAACTCTGCCCCGACTTGGGAAAGAGGCCCAAGCGTCTCGACCAGCGCGGGATGGAAATAGTCGGCACATCTTCGTACGCGTTTAGCGCAGAAGGTGGAGTAGTGTGGATCTCAAGAAGCGCAGTTCTGTGATCTGCACCGAATGACCTTCATGGTGACTGTTTCAATGCAAAACGTCATATAAATGTGAAACACTTCCTTCAAAAGCATCCCAATATTGCAAGTGAACATTCCCCACCATAAGATGGTGGTCTCAATATGTTCAAATGTGGAACATTCCAATTAAAGTTGCATTTTTCATGTAGAACATTACTTGCGATTGCCTTTCGCATGACGGTCATTGGAGCTGATTCGGACGGCCCGTACGACTTCTGCTATTTTGGGTATATTGACGTACACAGTAGAGTTTAACTTGCTGCCAACAGCGCAAATAACAAGGTTTTTTGGAAACTCACCGAACGCGGCCATGCCTGGTTCCCAAGGACTCAATATTAACAGACTGAGCTCATATCTACCCTCAATTAACATGCATCTCGATGCTGTTAACTATGCACAAGCCAGGTCACTTCTGTAACCAATGCATAACACACTTTTGGTCCTGGTATGGTCGCCAGTTGAACTAATTTGGTTGGCCGCTACGACCTCACTTATTTTGACGCGAGGACCCATAAGGTGGAGTCACGTCTTTTGGCAAAACAAAATCCGAGGCACATAAAGCCTTTCCGCCTGCAGAAGTGCGTTTAAGACGCGCATTGGGACGCTGAAATGAGAAAGGGAAATCCTTATCATCATCCATTAATGGTTGAATGCTCTATATACAGAAACATCACTGAGGGCCTCGTACTGTCTTACCACTTTATGGTAGCTGCTTCAAACCTGAAGCTTGAAGGGCTTAGCATTGACACCACCAGCTCTTTATCAGAGCATTAAAATGGACGTAGACCTGTATCATATCGGATGCAGGTATCTCCAGAGCACGAATTATAAAATCACCTGG